AAGCTCGCCTCACATCGGTCAGTCCATTCGAACTTCACAGACTTCCTCGTCAGCTGCGAAAGAGGGAGGGCAATCTTGAAAAAGCCCTCGATGAACCTGCGATAGTAACCAGCTAACCCGAGAAAACTGCGAACCTCGGACGGACTCCTCGGTGTCGACCAGTTCTGAACGGCTGAAACCTTAGAAGGATCCACCTCGATGCCTGCCTGAGTAATCACATGACCCAGAAAGGATACTTGCTGAAGCCAGAACTCACATTTGGAGAATTTGGCGTACAACTTTTCTCGTCTGAGAGTTTCAAGAACCACTCTCAGATGCTCCTCGTGCTCCTTCTGGCTCTTCGAGTAGATAAGGATATCGTCAATAAAGACGATAACGAAAATATCGAGGTAGGGGTGAAAGATACGGTTCATGAGGTCACTGAAAACAGCTGGCGCATTGCTGAGACCGAAAGGCATGACAACGAACTCGTAAAGGCCGTAACGAGTCCTGAAAGCGGTCTTAGCGATATCTGACTCCTTAATCTTCAGCTGATGGTAGCCTGATTGTAAGTCAATCTTCGAGAACACACAGGCTCCCCTCAGCTGATCAAATAAGTCGTCGATCCTGGGAAGAAGGTACTTATTCTTGATCATCAACCGGTTTAGATCCCGGTAGTCGATACACATTCGTATAGATCCGTCCTTCTTCTTAACAAAGAGAACGGGTGCTCCCCAAGGTGACATGCTCGGTCGGATGAAACCGAGTCGTAACAGCTCCTGAATCTGAGTCTTAAGCTCCTGCAACTCTTTAGGCGCCATGCGATATGGGGCTTTTGATACTGGACCAGCCCCTGGCATGAGATCGATAGAAAACTCCACCTGACGGTTGGGCGGTCCTCCTTGAAGCTCGTCTGGGAATACGTCCACAAACTCGCGAACGATTGGAACATCATGAGGTGTTCGCGCTTTCTGAGAATCATCAACAAGGCTCACCAGGTAACCCTGGCAGTTGCCTCGTCGCAATAGCTTAGTGGCTTTCGCCATCGAAACCACCTGAGGCAGTGAACGATTCCTGGAGCCGAAGAAAGTAATCGATTCGTCTCCCGGCAGATAGAGAGTAATCTCCCGGTCGTGACACCTGATATCAGCATGATAGAAAGATAGCCAATCCATCCCGAGAATAAGATCGAAATCCTTCATCTCGAAAACAAACGCGTCGGCAGTCAATACTCGACCACCGATGGAAAGGCTAAGATCTGAGGCTTTAGCTGAGGTCATTATCTTTCGTCCCGAGGCTAAACTCA